TACTTCAGACTCCATTTTGCATTGATACTACTATTTTCAAGCAATTCGTCATGAAATTCAAATTATATAATTATAAGCCTACTTGTAAAATACGTTATTTTATTAAATGATCTTTAATTTAATCCAATGAACTTAAAAGCAAATCTACCTTAAAAGAAATGTTTTCAATGCTCCTTTATTTAATTTTAGATACGCAAGTTAAAGTTTTGGACATAAATTTTTACCTCGCCAAAAACCAGCCAACCAAAAGAAGCCCACGCCTCTGACGTCACTTTCAAATTTTACAGTCGCCGGTAGTGTGTTCTGTGCTGACGATAAACAAGACGTTCGCAAACAAAAAATGGAGAGCAAAATTACATTACTCTTTCTTGGCGCTTTATTTTATTTTGGTAAGTTGTTTAAACTTGTTTATAATGCAGCAAGCCTGCTCTATTACCTTTTTAAATTACACCTGATCAGGTAATGAATCTGGTGGTTTTCACCTGTTGAATAAAAAAATATTTAACTTGTATCCAACAGTGTTAACAGTTGTGAGTTGGAGGTGTTGGTTTGAGTCGAGTGGAATTGAAGTTAAAGTTAAGGCACTTGGCTTTTTTGGTCTGTCTCTGTCAACTATATTAAAATTTTAAAAATAGTCAATTTAATTGGCAGGCAGAAGCTTCAGACATTTGCTTTGATTTGTGGACCTGTATTTAAGTTGAGCTGCACCCTTAACAAGGGAGCTCTGAACTGATCACTGATATAAAGTTATAAGTATAAGTTTCAAAATAAGGTTTTCCAACCAGGGTATTGGGGGTGGCATTTTTTTTTGGGGGGTGGGGGGTTGAGGTGATTTTAATAAAAAAAACAAGAAGCCACTGAAGTTGAGTTTAATTTAATGCATGAAAATTTGATATAAAAATTGTCATAATATTAACGTAATAAATAAGTCATAAGTTTATGTTTATTAAATTACCAAATTATATATTTTTAACCTTTATATTATAATAGTTTATTAGTATTAAGCCTATTATTATTTTAAGTCACTAGTTTGTTTGCAAGGTTCTACAGTAGGCCCCTATTTGTGAATTAATTTTTAAAAAGCAAGATATCAAAATAGTATACTTATAGTCTATTTTTTTCCACACTTTAAAATGCATTGTCACTGACACTTTTTGGAGGCTGCAAGGGTTGAGTAAATAATAATTCAAACTCAATTTTTTTTTTTTACTCATGTCAAATTCTTAATAAATAGGTATTCTTATTAATACTAACTACTCAACATGGCACATACAAATTATAGTATTGAGTTAAGTTATATCTGATAAATACTATCACATTAAATTAAAGAAATGACAAGTGCTTGAGTTTGAGATTTGAATTAACGAATGAAATAGCATATTCAAAATTAAATAAAGGGCTGGTTGGTGGACTGCTAACACAAACAAGACAAGTTACATGATGACGATGGACCTCAAAAGCCACCTGAATAACCATGTATACTAAAAACTTTAGTCTTAGTTAATAAAGACCTAAATAATACTGGCCTGAGCATTATTGGGATTTGTTTTGACATTTTTGTATGCATCAGCATGTCCCAGTTTTCAATAGTTTTTAACACTATTTCTTGCCACTGCCACTACCATTCAGCCTTATTTAAGCCTACTACTGTTAGTTGTGTTAGTCTAGTCATGTGCTGTGTTATGATGATTTCATAGACATTTTTTCATAGTGTTACATGGGGTTCATTAACCAATGGCTGCACATTGAATTTAAACATGCATTGGACCTAGCACGTCTTATCATTACCAATGATCTCTGGTTTTTGTTTGGCACCCCTGTCCAGGGGTGTGCCGGATCCGTTTTTTCCAACCGGATCCGGATTTTCTTATGCGAAATCCGCCGAATCCGGATTCCGGAATAATCCGGATTCCGGAATAATCCGGATTTTGGTACTATTGGCCACTATTAGCGGTGCTGACTCTAGCCTCTGGTATGTTCGGAATATTAAACATTAAACAAGCTCAACGCTCGAAACAATCGATTAATGTATCGTGATCGTGTGGAATTCGGGAAAGAGAATTACTTTTATTTCAGATTATGATCCGGTGAGTCACAAAATCTGGCAAATTCCGAAATCCGGTATATTCCGGATTCCGGTTGTTCCGGATACATGTAAATCCGGCAGAACCGGATTTCACCGGATAGTGCAAAATCCGGCGGAACCGGATTCCGGACCGGATTCCGGCACACCCCTAATCCATATATTAGTCTAGGTACTTCAATACTCATCTATGCACCATCCTGAGTATTTCAAAGAATTACAATAAAATTTGTGGCATGGTTTCTAAAAGGACTTTCCTATTATTTTGATTTAATACTGGTAATTCTAAGTTGTTAATGCTGTATAAAAATTATTGATTTTCTCATCAGTGATGTTGCATCTTTTGTGTTGCTGTGACATTTTCTGAATTTTGTGCAATTTTTGTTGTTGACACACATAAGGTAGTAAACATTTGGTAAGATTTGATCACATTCATTGCAAATTTTTGCTAGTAACTTTATAAGAATGGGGCTTAGTTTCAGAAATACTTCATCCATTTACTTCTTTAAGTGATCAAATTTCACCAATCCAAAAAGAAGGTAGGGGGTGGTCACCAGAAAATAAGTTCATTTTTATTTGAGTGAGATGGAGAAAATGGCTCTTATTCTTATCCCTGTGAAATCAATAATTATGAAGTAGTGTACTATTTTTGGGTCCCTAAATATACCTACAAAACTAAACTAAACAGTTTATAATGTTGATGAATTTATTTACCAAATTTTAGAAAGGAATATGACTTAAGTTTATACAAGGTAGCTATTTATTTTTATTATTTTAAATTTATTGTGTAGATCCTTGCTCTAGGTCTACATTTTTTATACCATCTCTTAATACTTTTATTTCGTCAGGCTAATACTAATAGTAGAATAAGGTTAGGGTAAATTATTGTTTCAGTTTGTGAGAATATAATTATTTTTACATTTTAGAAATCTAAAAAGTGAATTAAATTAATTTTTTACATAATATGGAAGTTGTTACTAAGGGGCCATCCATTTTTTTTTACTTTCCCTATTTCCACCGCCACTCCCTCCCCCCATCGTCCGAGAAACATTATATTCACTTAACTATGAGGTATGGAAATAATTAAAATACAGCCTAAATGTATGAAATAAATTCACCACATTATCAGATTATTACACAAAATATATTAATACTTATGTTTCACCAAAGCTTATAGCTAATAGCCCTTTAAAATTATTTATCTTCTATAGGAATCAGAAAATGTTTAAAATTTCTGTCAAAGTACCGAATATTTTGTATGAAATAAAAGTCAAACTTTCATGCTCCCTCACTTCCTGTTGCCCCCAAATGGCAGGCAGCCGGTAATCACACACAGCCACACGTGCAGTTCCACAGTCATTGTGTTATTTGTGTGTGTGAGCCAGTTGTTCTGCTAGACTGCACAATAACAGTTTTCATTTACTTACTCAACCACTGTTATCTTTTTTTCAAAACCAGAAATGACCTGCAATATCCCTTTTTGTTGCAAATTGTAATTGTGTATGTTTTAATTTGATAAAAATTTGCTTCAGAATTATTTCTTATTCCAATCAACAATTATTACTTATGTGATTGAATCATGGAAGTGATTAGGTTATTACTTATACATTTGACAATTGACCTTCATAGTTTTAATGGCTTTTATATGTAAGTTAGTACTCATAGTAATCATAGTAAACCTAATATAGTTTGGTAGCTTGCTTTCAATTATCACTGAAGGGTACCAGGCAGGTAGATTTTTATGAGTTTGGAAGAATTTAAAAATTTGGAGGGGGGGGGGGAGGGGAGGAAGTACAACTGAGTTTCTATTTGTTACAGTGTTACAGGTTAAAGTCAGTGTAATGAACTTTAATGATAGATCATGCTTAGATTTTTATGAGTTTGGAAGAATTTAAAAATTTGGAGGGGGGGGGGGGAGGGGAGGAAGTACAACTGAGTTTCTATTTGTTACAGTGTTACAGGTTAAAGTCAGTGTAATGAACTTTAATGATAGATCATGCATTAAAAATTGTAAGGTGTAGAAACTATAGATAGGCCTCTAGCCTTGCTCAGTGTTGTAGGTTTATCAGATTCTAATATTTAAAGCATTTTTAGATGCAAAAGAAGACTGATTTCTGATAACATCTTGGTTTAGAGTAGTAGGTCTCTGAATATAAAAATAATTTTTATTGAAGAATTAGAATACTTGTACTTTTCTATGTTCTGAATAGAAAATTCTTTCACTAGACAAAGAAAATGAGATTGCCAAGTGACCGTAACAATATTGTAATGCACCATTTAGTGAAGGATCCCAGGTCACGTCAACATCAGTGGCAATGAGAAAGCGGACACTCTGGCAAAAAATCAGGGCTGCCCAGCCTCAGCCAGAAGTGCCAATAACTTATTTGGGAATAAAGAACTGGCTGGCAGACCACTTTAAGTGGTACAAGCAATGGGCAGACAATACGACTGCCAGAGACGTCTTTTCAAATTTGCCCACTCCTAGCAGACAAGACCCACGGTGGGGGTTAGGCCATAGACAGCAGAGTTTAGTGACGCAGATGCGTACTGAGCTCTGCCCCTTAGGCACATACTTTTGGTGGCTAGATAACAACAAGGAACCCCCCCCCCCCTGCCGGCATTGCAGCCTGGTCACGGAGACACTAGCACACCTGTTAACCGAATGTCCCTCACTAGATGTCCCAGGGGTGGTCAAGGTAGTTGGAGAGCCCTACGTGAGGAAAATGTTGCATGGCTCAGCTCAGCAGATGGAGCTGGTAGCCAATGTACTAGCCAGGGTCATAAGAGAGTAATCTCAGTCCTTCACCAGAGTGTGTGTTAGTTAGTGGAGGACAAAAATTAAGGCCTAATGTTTTTATTCAGTTGTAGCTTTTACACATTGATTGAAAATTTTTAATTAAAACACATTTTATATTGCAGGTTTCTAACAGAACGGCTGTCAGCTAAGGAGCTAGAGAGGAGAGGTGTTTGTCTACTTAAATTGCAGATAAAATCACGCAGATCAGGTTTATATGGACGAATGGTTGCTGTATTTGAACCTGTGTTCAAACCTGGAGGAAAAAATGCAAAATCAGAGTTGCCGTCTCACAACCTAAGTCCTGGTAAATTTTCTTTACTTAAAGTGTTGAAAATAATTATTTTCATCATTTAGATCCATGTGCCCTGCGGCTGTGGTGAAGATTTCACTCACTCTCCACAGCTGTTCTTTGTTTTTAAATAGGGTGTTGGTGTACTCTGGTGTTTTTGGTAGGTGGTTCAAGCGTAAGTCCCGAAGGGCTGGGCAGTGGAGGAGGTGATATGGAACTGTCTCAATTAAAATTATTGTTGAAATTTAGTAATGGTTGCATTTGTTTCTTTTAATTTTTAAATTGTAATGGTAACTTGCTTCCATGTTTTTATTTTGTTTACTCTTATATATATATATATATTCACAGCTTTATATGTTGATATTTGATTGGTAGTATTCTTTATCAATTGGTGCGATGCAAATTTTCTCCAGCTGAATGTCTCAAAAACAAAGGAAATGATTGTTGATTTCAGGAGGGGGAAACACCAGATTACAGATCTCAACATAAAAAAATCAAAGTGTAGAGAAAGTGGAGGCATACAAGTCCTTAGGTGTCACCATTAACTCTCGAACTGTGGTCGGCCGTCAAAATTGGCTGATATTCTGGTTATGGGCTGTGGCGGCCGATAAAAAACACGGTCCGATAGCAACTTCCAATCGAATATTTAACCGAAATCATAGCCACTTCCTTTTATTAATAATTAAATCAACTCCCGGATCAAGCTGTTTCTTGATAACTTAATAATAAGTACTTTGTAATCGCAATTTTATATCGCCGTTTTTTTTTAAAGCTAAAATGGCGAATGCTATGGCCGGGGCTTTCAGTGCGAGAACTAATATAAATATTTTTGAAAGCTTTTTAGGAGAGGATTTAAGTGATACTGATGATGATTTTTACATTCCCCATGACATCTCACTTCAGATTCTTCTTTCGTGAATCTGATACTAGTCTTAGTGATACTGAAGTAGGCCTACTGAGGCTACTGTTAGACTTCGAGCCAGGCACGGAGTTTGGGCAAGGACTGACTGAATTTTAGTCACAGAAGCTACAGATTATAGTATTATAGATCAGAACTAATAAATTTTATAGTTTGAAAACCCAAATCAGTTCCACGGTTCATTTTTAAATGTTTACTAGTCAATAAAAACTATTTTGCCTGAGATTTTGTATTTTGTACTTGGGTTTAGCTGTAATCCCAGTTTCTTATATAAATGACCTAAAATTACTAAAATTGCTTTCAGAGGTTTAATTGTAATCAAAACCTTAGCAAACTATACATTTTCTGAAAGATGAATGAATTCTCAACAACATTTAAATTTATGTTTTAAGTGTATCTATAAAAATTAATGATGTTATGAGCACTTGAAAGCAAGACATTTTGTCGATTTTTATTTTCTTGAGCATCGCAAGGTCAAGGACACTGAACAAAATTTTTTTTACGGGGTGGGCAATATAGCCAACTTTAACCCCATCCATTTACCTTTCTAAAAATATATAATTATCGGGGTCTTGTATCAATATTTCTACGTCATTTAAGGCAATTTCAAAAGGCACTCAAAAAGCTCTGTAAAGCTCCACACCACAGAATGATGCACGCCACAGTTCAAGGGTTAATAAAACATGGCTAACATGGCATGAGCATGGCCAAATGCTGTATAAGAACTTCAAACCAAAGACTGTTCCATCTCAAAAAACTGTACAATTTCGGCGTAAACAAGCAAATCGTTAACTTATTCTACAGTGCAACAATTGGAAGCCTACTTAATTGCAGTATTACCTGCTGGTGTGGGAACTCAACGTCTGATATTAAACACCGCATAAAACGACTAATCAAGAAAGCTAGGAACATAACACAAACTAAACATCCTTCACTGGAAGAACTATTTGAAGAAAGATGTTTTTGTAAAACTAAACACATTGTGGATGATACATCACACCCCCTTCATCACAAATACTTAGGATCGGGCCGTTCAGGGTGAAATCTTTCCATCAGGGCGAGGACTGACAGATATAAAAATTCTTTTGTTCTTCAATCTGTACGAATTTACCGGCGTGCTCCCTCTGAAGTCACACATCTTTATGAGAACTAATAAGTCCCCGATTTGGCTAAGAGAACTCACTGAATGGCTGTTTGAGATAATTTATTATAAATGTCTTGTCTTCAAATTGTTTTATTTATGTGCTGAAAATGTATAATGCAATCAAAAAACATTTCCATTTTTTTAATTAATAAAAGAATCTTATGTTAGCTTATCTTATTAACAAATATCCTAACTTAGCAACTTACATGTCTGATACTTATGCAACCATGGCACTGAATTACAAAAACAAAATTTCTGAATACATAATTTTTTTTTTCCTTAAGTTATTTAAATAATAGAAAATTGAATTGTAATTGTTTAATAATGTATAAATGCCCTAAAATGTGTTTGTAGCTTTTTGTAAAGTTTTCTGAGGCCATTTACAACAAAAAATATTGTTTTTCTATTCACAGGAGACATAGTGGGTGTGGCCTTGATGAAAAGTGAGCCCTCTGAAAAGTCCCTTGTTACGGGTATTGTCTCACAGGTCACCTCTTTCAACATATCTATTGCCTTTGATGAGTCACAGGATATCTTTGAACTTGATGATGATGAAATTTTCAAGTTAACAAAGCTTGCCAATGATGTGACGTATCGCAGACTTAAAGCGTATGTTTAAACATAGATAATACTTGCCGTATACTTTTTAATGAATGAAATGTTTGCTTTTTTAAAGTTAAAGTTGTTCTTTTTTAATTCATATAATTTTAATTATTTTTTTTTTAAAGTGTGAGAGTATAGACTTGACTCAACTAAAGAAATAAATTTCAAGAACATTTCAAATGACAAGAGCCAAACACAGAGACAGCAATGTGTTGATTTAAAAAATAATAATAATTTGGTTTTACTTTACTTATAGTAGTGCTAACTGATTGAATGTTTCCTTATTCTACTTTCATGGCATCTAGAACTTTGAAAGACTTGGCCAAAGTAAGGCATGGGCGGTCACAAAGGCTCATCGATACTTTATTCTACCAGGAAGAAATCTCTTCCCCCAGCAGAGAATTTTGTAAGAAATTTTTTTATTTTTGATATTTTAATTTTAACTATAAACTGAAAAAGTCATTGTGCATTTTAAGTGCAGCAATGTTAGAGGGGAAAAAAATTAATACTTTTGAAAATTTCCTCCATGCTCACACTAGAGTTAGGTGTTGTTCGCATTTGTTGAAGGCTATTGAGCACAGGATTTACCCAGTTTGTTGTTGTTGTTTGTTTGGGGACGCAAGACAATTATTAGGTCCAGGAGTGTCAATTAAATAATTTTCTGTTCATTTTGTTTTTAAAACCAACGTTTTTAAAAGATAATTACGTTTTCATTTTGTAATGAGGGTGCTTTTTTAATGGGAAGAGTTATGCTAATAAGATACATTTTTTTTAAAATAAGAATTTTTATGGAGTAACCTGATGGAAGGCTGAATATACATGTTCAGTCACGATCTTACTAACTGTTATTTTAAAATTCTTAAGTCGACGCAAATAATAATGTGATTAGCACTCATAAATGGCTTCCAGTGTTCTGACACACATTCGTTTTAAATGCACCAATTTTACAGCAGTTCTTATCTGAGGTGTGTTATGTTAATTTAGCCTTCTCGTTTGTGAATGAAAACCTGGATGACTCGCAGAAAGAAGCTGTCAAATTTGCTCTCATGCAGAGGGAAGTGGCCATAATCCATGGGCCACCAGGTACTGGCAAGACGACCACAGTTGTGGAACTTATCATTCAAGCTGTCAAGCAGGGATTGAAGGTCAGTTTAAACCATAAAGAAAAACATAAATTTTACTTTTTTTCTATCCAATGAGACCAAAATTAAATGATTTAATAAAAGCTCACCTCAATCTTATGAAATTTGAAATAATAATTCTTCTTCATAAAGGTTTTTTTTAAAATACATTTTTGTATGTGTATTTCACTCTAGATTCTTGCAACTGCTCCATCAAATATTGCAGTGGATAATCTGGTGGAGAGATTAGCCAGCTATAAGCAGAGGATCGTCAGAATAGGTCACCCAGCCAGACTGCTCAGCCACTTACAGAAATATTCCCTTGATGCCATAGTGTCAGGGACAGATGAAACAAGTATTGTGGAAGATGTCAAGTCAGATATGCAAAATGTCCTGGTAATTGATGTTGGGATTTTTTTATGCATTTACCCCTAGAAAAATGCAAAGAAGGAAATCTGTTTTCATTGACAATAAATTTTTTTTTTTCAAACAAGGTTAAAAATCATTTCTGTTAAGTTTTTCTTTCAACAAAAAAATATTTGTGGTTTTATCACATTTCAGGTCAACATGATTATATAAACAGTGTAATAAAATATATTTATTCAATGACCGCTTTAAATTCAGGTTGAATTTAGTATTTCTTTTTGAAAGGCCAAACTAAAAAAAGCCAGAAACCATGGGGAAAAACGTGCCTTGAGAGATGAGATGAAAGTTTTAAGAAAAGAGGCCACACAAAGAGAGGAGGCTGCCAGCAGAGACATCCTGTCAAGGGCAGATGTCGTGTTGGTCACTCTGACCAGTGCTACGAATGACGGCCCACTCAAGCACCTGAAAGAGGATCATTTTGACCTGGTGGTCATAGATGAATGCTCTCAGGTGAGACAAAGGGGCTCAAGGTTATGTCTGGAAAATGATTCTGTCGTCACGTTTTGGTAGGAGATGGTGGTGTGCGGCCTTTGTCTAGGTGCGACTCCATTGAATAATTATTTTAACATGGAGACCCTATGTTACCATATAAATTCGAAACCCTTGTGATCACCAGTGTATGAAGCACCGAAAACGTTTAGCCAACTCTGCATGCCTGGTTAAGACTCAAGCTTTGCTTTTTAATCATTTGACGTAGCCCCACTGATACTGAACACACTTTCATTTAACAAAATTGTTCATCAAAATAAAAGGTCATAGTATTTAGCTAGTGCACACCTGGCTTAGCCTTTCCATAGCATTGGGTTTACACAGCACTCATTTTCTTAATTGTTATCATTGTGCCTTATCATAGTTTACTTGTGTTTCCCTGACAAATGTCAAACACATTGTGCCTTATCATAGTTTACTTGTGTTTCCCTGACAAATGTCAAACACATTGTGCCTTATCATAGTTTACTTGTGTTTCCCTGACAAATGTCAAACACATTGTGCCTTATCATAGTTTACTTGTGTTTCCCTGACAAATGTCAAACAAAGAGCTGCTAGTTTCTTAGTTCTTTGTTGTTGTTGTGGAAAAACTGATTGGTAGACATCAGATTTTAAACCACTTATTATTATTTGACACCTGTTGGGGTGGGAGGGTGTTGAAGGTTTGCTTGCTGAACAAGGAGCACTGATCATATTACCCCCTATCCATTTCTTGGTTAAAAGTTTAAGGGTTTTCAAAGCTAAGTCAAACGATATGTCGTGGTGCATAATATAAAAAGGTTGGGAAACCCTGCACCAGAAAATAAATTTAAAAGTTAAAAAAAAAATTGTTTATATCTCAAATGACAAAAATTTTTGTTTGATGCTATAGAAATTTAAAAAATATTTCTTTAAATGATTGTTTATTTTCCGAAGGCATTAGAGGCAGCCTGTTGGATTGGACTGATGAAGGCGCGCAGATGTGTGTTGGCTGGAGACCACCTACAGCTACCTCCGACCATCTTGTCAAAAGAGTAAGTTCGTTAGAAGAATATACAAATGTTTGTCAGATTAGTTTCATGTGACTGCCTCAGAGAGTTAAAGCACTTAGTCACTGGTTACATTTTAAGGGAAGGAAAAATAAACAACACACAGCTGTTTATTTTTTTATTCATATTCAACAGAGCTGCAGCAGCAGGACTGGAAGTGACCCTCATGGAGAGATTGTTGAAAACCTTGGCCAAAGAAAAGGGCAGAGACATTATGCGAATGTTGACGACGCAGTATCGCATGCATCAGGACATCATGGCCTGGGCCTCACAACAGCTGTACGAGGGAAAGCTTGTGGCTCATGAGTCCGTAGCATCACATTTGTTGAGGTGGGTGGAGTTGTGGTGGATATGGATAAATGTAGTGATACGAGTGGAGACAATCTAATGAGTTAGATTAATTGGATGTCACATTACTTTTAGATCAGTAGTTTCAAACAGAATAATGAAATCTAGCACATGTGCTCCCAAACATGTCATTTTGAACCAACACTTCCTTAGAAATAGAAAAGCAACTTTTTTTTGTGTAGCTAAATTGCAGGAATTGTGAAAGCCCATCATGCCGCTTAGTGAGCACCTATGGCATAGTTTGTCATTCCTGCTAAAATGCATATAGTATAAAATAATATTTTCATAGTTGTCATTTGTGCTAAAAAGTATAAGTATAATATTTTCATTGTTAAACTTAGTGCATGGGCGTTTGATACAGCTCAAAAGTCCCTTTTGTTTTTCTTTAGCTCCTTTGGGTTAGCTGGCTGCTTCATTATTGCTGTATATTGTATGTCTGTCCCCGTGGTTTTTCTTTAGCTCCCTGGGGTTAGCTGGCTGCTTCATTATTGCTGTATATTGTATGTCTGTCCCCGTGGTTTTTCTTTAGCTCCTTTGGGTTAGCTGGCTGCTTCATTATTGCTGTATATTGTATGTCTGTCCCGTGTTTTTCTGCAGGGATTTGTTGGATGTGACTGAGGGTGAGGAGACAAACGCCCCTCTGCTGTTGATTGACACTGCTGGATGTGACCTGTACGAACTGGATTTACCTGATGAAGTATCCAAAGGGAATGAAGGTAAAGTCAAAGAATCTTTTGTGTGTCTGACTACAAAACAGTGGTCAAGATACTGGCTTTATTTCACAAAATAGTGTTCAAGATACTGGCCATATTTCACAAAACATTGGTCAAAATACTGGCCTTATTTCACAAAACAGTGGTCAAGATACTGGCCTTTTTTCCACATAATAGTGGTCAAGATACTGGCTTTATTTCATAAAACTGTGGTCAAGATATTCACCTTATTTCACAAAGTAGTAGTTAGCTTTATTTTAACACTCTTGAGTTAATTTTAAGTATGCATCTTGTAATTGGGGATCAACAGGATAAGATGTAACCATTTTGACTAGACTAGATTTGGGAGTTTGACAGAAAACAATGTCAGTTCTTCAGTTGATGTTGATTGACATTCACCTTTTATATATCATTAAAAGACAGAGAGGTATTAGAATATACTACCATCAAAATCTGTTAAAAATTTATATTATATTAAAAGTTGCTTGGATCTGCAGTCCCAATTTTTAATTGCTTTTAACTTTATCCTTCTATTTCTATTACATCCGGTATGAAATCTTAAAAACTCCTTTGTTAGAGCTGGGGAAATAAGAAACAGAAAAAAAAAGAGTGTCAGCAAAATGCCTGCTTCAGCAAACAGACGCAGTACAATTTAAATTTTTTTTTAACTTATAAAATATGAAGTCCAACAGAAAAATAAGAAAAAATAAACAATAAATGTGTCTGCAAAACGCCTTCTTCAGGAAACAGAATCAGTACCAAATTTATTTTTTTTTAAACCTATCAAATAGTGTGGGAAGTCAAAGAGAAAACTAGAAATTAGATCAAATAATTAAGGGGGTGGTTGTGGGTTTGAATAATAAATCTTGACACAGTACATAAAACCATTTGTTGAAAGATGAACCCTGACCCATGACCTTCTGAATAATTTTTCAGGTGAGGCTGACATTGTGGCTGCTCATGTTGATGACCTTATAAAGTGTGGGGTCAAGGCTGTTGACATTGCTGTTATAGCCCCATACAACCTACAGGTTCATGACTTCTTGTTATCTTATTCATAAAACGTTGCTTCAATTGTCATAGAATACTCTAAAGCTTTTTTACATGTGACTTGTTTACCTCATCATAATTGGAGTTGGAGATAACCATGTCGCTGAGTTCATGAAATACATTTCTTTTATAAGAACATGTTTGTTTTGCATTGCTTCCCTTGTTGAAATATTGAATTCAAATATCAGGTAGAACTTATCCGCTTACGTCTCAGTGCCAAGTACCCTGGTCTGGAGGTCAAGTCAGTTGATGGTTTTCAAGGCCGTGAGAAAGAGGCGGTCATCATCTCCATGGTGAGGAGCAACCCAAAGGGTAAGAATTTTCCGCAATGAAACTGCAGTTTCTGCTTATCAAAATCAATGTAAAATAGGTGCGCCTCTTAAGAAACTAAAGTAACGCAGCAGCTGTAAACATAAGCCGAAGCATGACGGGAGGAGGAAGAATTGTTGAACCCTTAAACTTTGTGACAGTATCATGGCTTATTTTTGTGATCTCACTAGTGCTCAGGCACTTCCAATCCCCAGACATATCTGTAGATACTTTGTTTCAATTTTTACTCCAAATCACAGCAGCCACATCCTGGTCACTATAAATTCTGCTTCATTTGCATTTTGTCCATCCACCCCCGTGGCACTACAGCCCAGGTAAGGCTTTGGCCTACCTCACCGCCTCCTTCCACTCACCATTTAGCGCTTCGGTCCACCTCACCACTTCCTTCCACTCAGACCTAACTGATGCTTTTCTCTCCCAGCTGCTGGTAGATCTTTTTCCACATCATCCATCCATTTAAGCCTAGGTCTGCCTTTGAGCCATTTTCCTCTGGGGTTTCAGTGATGTATCCTCTTCACGCCACTGTTATGTGGCATTCTTTCTAAGTGCCCTGCCCATTTACATTTTGTAGCTTTTATAAAAACACCAATTTAAAAAAAAAAAATACATTTTTATTAACAAGTTTTATAAAACAAATTTAAATTTGAAGTTAGAGAATTTCTGCAGCTCTTATTTTCTTTTTTTTTTTTTTTTTTTTAAAAAATTTTTTTTTCTCACATTCATGATATATTTTGTGATCCAACAGGTGAAGTTGGTTTCTTAGCCGAGAAGCGGCGCATCAATGTAGCCGTGACTCGTGCCAGGCGACATTTGACAGTTGTGTGTGACACTGAGACTGTCAGTCATGACCCTTTCATCAAGTCACTGGTGGACTACATGACCGGGAAGGGAGAGGTTTTATCTGCACATCAGTACATTCAAGGTGAGTTCGTCTTATCACAGGTAAATGTCAGTAGCTTCAAGGTGAGTTCGTCTTATCTCTTATCACATGAAAATGTCACATTCATTTAAACTAATAAGGGAAAACAAATTCAGTTTGAACATTTTTGCTTAGTGCCAGAACTGAATGTTCCTTCAATGCCAGAACTGAATGTTCCTTCAATGCCAGAACTGAATGTTCCTTCAATGCCAGAACTGAATGTTCCTTCAATGCCAGAACTGAATGTTCCTTCAATGCCAGAACTGAATGTTCCTTCAATGTCAGAAATCAATGTTCATATACCAGAAACTCTCATTGATTTTATTTAGCCTGCTTGATGAACATGTCCATGATAAAATTACCTTTCTTTTACAGGACATACGCCACTACTAACCACCACGCTATCACGCCAATTAGTTAAGTTTTCCTGGGTGCCTCTCTCAAGGGCCAATCCATTTCTTAGGAATGCATTTAATTAAACAAAGTTTGTGTTTATTTTGCTGATCAGAAAAAAAAAAATTATTACTTTTTAAGAACAACTTTTATAATGGTACCTGTATGTCAGACAGACGCTCCTCAATTCTCATATGAGTACCTTGATATTAGTGGGTTTTTTTACTCCCTTACAAAAAAAGAACACTTTTGACAGGATTTTTTAAAAAAATTTCTTCCTCAGAGGGTAAAGTCAGCCAGACATTCAGCCGGCCTGTCAGGCTGCTAGACATGATGGAAAACAAGAAAACACAAAGTTCAACAAAGCAGGAGAAGTCGAGGTAGTTTTACCCAGTCTCAATGTCATAACTGAAGTGTGCGGGTTTTGTGGCTCAACTTTTCATGAGTCTTCTTGTACTTCAATGAAAACAGGCACAAGATAACAAATCTTCCAAAAGGTTCTTCACTTCACTGATTTATACATTTCTGACATCTCTGATATCTAACATCCTGTTTACCCTTCAGGATAGTATCAAGCTGGTCTTTTATTAAAGAATAAAATTCACCTTTGGAAGCTCTTAAATGGGACATAATATTTTTTGTTAAATTTTAGTTGTGAATTTTGGATTTGTGTTAATATTACACTGCCAATGAGGCAATAGTCATGTTAATCATATGGGGAAGGGTTGGGGGGTGCGGGGGGGGTGTGGAGGATGTTTAAAAAAACAACTGAAGCAACAGACTAGAACACGCACAACATGATCGGGGAAATTTATTATGAGACGTTGTTAATTTTGACAAATTTGTCTTGTCTTCGGCCCGCAACAGAGAAAAACCACTGCAGAGCAAGGAGGAAAAGCTGGCCATGTACAAACTAGACCTGGAGAAATTTATCTCAGATGCCAGTCTGTCTACCCTCGACTTTCCCGCCTCGTTGAACTCGCATGACAGGATGGTCATACATGAGGTTTGTGTGGTGCTTTCAAGTTGTGGCCGAGGCGTTGGCTGTCATCCATATTTATTTGTATTAGGCAAACATTTTTTTTTTTAAAATCCACTCCTATGCACCTGTAGACTTTCAGATAGCAATAATGTGAAGTAGTTTTTGTTGTTGTTTCATCTTTATAGAAAACAAAAAATAGCCTAACACAAGCAAGGGAGCTCAATGAAAATCCTGTGTGTTTGATTTTTTTTTTTCTTTTTCAATTCCAAGGTTGCGGAACAACTGGGACTGGGTCATACAAGTACAGGGGAGGGAAAAGAGCGCCACATTCAGGTGTCAAAGGTCAAAGCTGTGGCAACCGAACCAGGTGGCAGCCATTCTGAACTGGAACCCGGAAACTGTACAAAAGCTGAAGGTGCTTTTGAAACTTTAACAGAAAGAGTCAAGAACTTGAATGCACAGAACGGTGAAGTGCTGTCTCAGGATTTGCAGAATATTGAAGGGAAAAGTGAAGAAAGTTCTGTCCATATTAGCACTGGTCAAGATGAAACTTTACCTGCCACCACAAGAGCAGGGGAAGAAGCCTCAAGCAAAGCAGGGGAAGAAGCCTCAAGCAAAGCAGGCAAACAGAGAAATAATGAAAAGATTGTGAAAAAAACTGCATCAGAACTACAAGGAACTGTGGGAAAAGAACCTGATGTCAATGTGCCGGTGCCAGATGACATGACACAGTGTCAACACTGTCTCAAAAACGTCAGAAGTCCCAACATAGCTTTACACGAGGCTCACTGTGCTAAACAAAACAAAAACAAACCGGTCCCCGTGGGACCTGCCGCTCAGGACAAATCTACAGGAGGGGTTGGGGCTCGGAAAAAAGACCCCAGAACACAAGATAAGAAAAAGGAGAAACCCAAGTCCCAGACTAACAGAGTGTCGGACGTCCTGAGCAAGATCGACGACGATGACTTTGACGGGCTGATCGCCAGCATCACCGAGCTGGACAGCAAGTGCGCCTACAGGAAGTGTAAGACGCTGACGAACACGTTGGGCAGAAACTGCGAATACTGCACTCGCAGATTTTGTCTTACTCACCTCATGCCGGAGATCCACGGCTGCGGAGACGCTGTCAAGGAGGCGGCGCGCCGTGTCATCAGCAGGGATGGTGTGTTACACAGCGGCAGTGGCGTTCCGAACAGGAAACCCAATCATGCGAGAAGGGCACAGCTTGAGCTCAAGTTGGAGAAAAAACTTGGCGAGTTGTCCAGTAAAAGGACTAAGAACACAGAGAAGAAAAAGTCCTAACAAATAAACATTGTTGTTATATTTTGATATATTTTTCTGTTGTTAACATCTGAATTTAATGTTAACTTATTGTTGACGCTTAGAACACATCAGACTTAAGCAGATGTCTTGTGATCTTTTTCTCTTTATTTGTAAAGTTTGAAATAATTAATGAACATCGAATAAACGGTACAATGCTGAAAAGTCTTGTATTTAAACCCTTTTATGTTATTAATGTCTACTTAATGTTGGCTGAAAGTGGAAAAGTTAAGAACAGGCTTTACTTTCTAATTAATGTCCAGGGTTTCTTGTGCATCCCTCCATCCCTGTGGCACTACAGCCTATGTAAGGCCTTGGCCTGCACCACTACTTCCTTCCACTCAAACTATCCATCCATCCCTGTGGCGCTACAGCCTATGTAAGGCCTTGGTCTGCACCACTACTTCCTTCCACTCAAACCATCCATCCATCCCTGTGGCGCTACAGCCTATGTAAGGCCTTGGCCTGCCTCTACTTCTTTCCACTCAGACCTGAGACTTTTGTTTTCCATGCTTGGATTCCCAGCTGCTATAGATCTTTTGCCACATCATCCATCCATCTAAGCCTAGTCTGCCTCTGAGCTGTTTTTGTCTGGGGTTTTGGTGGTGCACCCTCTCCACTCCTCTGTCATTTGGCATTCTTTCTAACGGTGGATAAGTCGAGGGTAAAACTCAGGGCTCTGAAATTCTGTGATTGCACTGTATACTAAACAATGACGGGTGTATGATTGACTCCATATGCATCACACCAGATGCTTGTATCTAAATCTCAACGGGTGTGTGTACCTGTGGTCTGCGTCAATGTACAGCTGCCGGTACGTACACTAGCACCACTGGTAATTTGACATTGCGCCGCATTCAGTGTATAATAATCTATTGAAACTACCACCGACCCTTGGATAAGTGGACTCCTGCCTTTTAAAGTGAAGTTTACTTCCAAAGTTTCTTGACTTATGCTTGATTATGTACGTCACATTTAAAAGAAAATGTGTTAGGGGTTTTCACCACTGACTCTTTGGCGAGCCCAGACTTCCCAAAGTATAAGCTGCGACGACCTGGGTGCCAACATCAGGGGGCGCCAAAATCGTCCTTAGCTATTACCTGAAAGGGAATTAATTTAAAGATAAAATCCCTTACAATAATATTGATTTTTTTTTATAATACTTTAAGTTGACGTCTTTGTGTTTGCTTTAAAACTGGGTAATGAATTGTTGAGCTATTATTACTCCTAGCGAAATTGTCATAAATTTTTTTTATCAATATAAGTATTGAAGAATTGAAAAACAATTTTTTAATTGTAAATGTTTGTACTGCAAATACCATTCAGAAATTTCCGGGGGG